TTTTTTTTTTTTTGAGACAGAGTCTCACCCTGTCACGCAGGCTGGAGTGCAGTGACTTGATCTCGGCCCACTCCCTCCATGGTTCAAGCGATTCTTCTGCCTCAGCCTCCCGATAGCTGGGACTACAGGCGCGTGCCACCATACCCAGTTAAGTTTTGTACTTTTAGTAGAGACGAGGTTTCACTATATTGGCCAGGCTGATCTCAAACTCCTGACCTCGTGATCCACCCTACTTGGCCTCCCAAAATGCTGGGATTACAGGTGTGAACCACCACACCTGGCCAATTTTTTTATATTTTTAGTAGAGATGGGGTTTCACCATATTGGCCAAACTGGTCTCGAACTCCTAACCTCAGGTAATCTTCCTGCCTCAGCCACCAAAGTGCTGGGATTATAGGCGTAAGCCACTGCGCCCAACCAAGCACTCTTAACTGGGGGTAAAGGAGAAAAGCTCACCTAGAGACAGAAGATAGCCAAATGCCCCCAAATTCCATCAAACTCAAAACTTATTTTTGAAGCAGAGTTAGTGACTGTTGATTGACATAATATAACTGTGAATTAACAACAATGACCTAAACCTGTGGCCTTGAAGAAACATCTGCGACTTATTGTTGCTTTTACCTTAATGAATAATTCTTCAGGGAGTTGAGGTAAATCCTGCTTGTTTACTTGTTCATCACCTTTTGAGAATGTTCCTTTACAAATCCTTGAAGCCTAAAATACGTTATTATAGCTATGTAAAATATACTGGTTAAGGTAATTGATTTTTCTTTTACCTCATGTTGTGAACTGAAAAGTTCAGTATATATTTTTTTTAAAGATACACGGTTTGACATGTACTTTGTCTTACAGGCAGTGAGGTCACTCAAGGAGACAATCGAAGACTGTTGGGACCAGGATGCAGAGGCTCGGCTTACTGCACAGTGTGCTGAGGAAAGGATGGCTGAACTTATGATGATTTGGGAAAGAAACAAATCTGTGAGCCCAACAGTCAATCCAATGACTACTGCTATGCAGAATGAACGGTAAGACCCTAAGGGGTGTGACACCTGTCAATCAGTATTAGAAACTGAGACCCAATAAATAACAGAAAATAAATACTTTTAAAGCAGCCTAACGGTTCAATGATTATCTCATACAGTCTAAAGTTATCATTTTTCTTTCAATATTCCTATTCTTCTATTGAACATTTTTGTTTGGTACGAGTGCGAGATGAAATCTGCATTTTTTTATATGTAAAGGTATAGTGAAAGAAGTTAGTCTTTCTCTATTTATGGTCCAACTTTCCTGCAATAATAAAGGTAAAATGTTTCCATAACTCCAAAATTTCATAAGCACTTCTATGTAAATTGTCTCTTTTATCCTTTGTTGTTACTATTCCTTCTTCCTCTGCTTTTTTTTTTAAGTAAATGGAACTATGAACTTGCCTATCTAACCACTGTTTCACTGACACTAAGGTTTCTAGACTTCCTATCTAATGCTCTTTCTTATAGAGTATACTACTACTACTTTTACATGAAAGCAATTCAAAGGTCTTTCTAGTCCATCATTAATACTACTTTACAAGACTTTTTCTTTGCTAGAACTATGATTTTTGGTTCTAAATAAAAAGGCTTTTTAAAAATTCCTACAATTTGGAACTTTCTACGTCTGTATTTCTTTGTTCCATATTTGGGGTAAAAAAGCCTTTGTATGACTCTGTCATTTTGTCTAATACATGTTTAAAACTTTCAGAAAGGCATCCAGGAAAGGGTTACTGGAGAAGATTGAAATAAAAATAAACTCGATTCTTGAAACTTTTTTTTTTTCCTGTGTGGTTTTTTGGGTTTTTTTTTGTTTGTTTGTTTGTTTTGTTGTTGTTTGTTTGTTTGTTTTTTGGAAACTGAGTCTTACTCTGTCCCCCAGGCTGGAGTGCAGTGGCATGATCCTGCAACCTCTGCCTCCTGGGTTCAAGCGATTCTCCTGCCTCAGCCTCCCGAGTAGCTGAGATTACAGGCATGAGCCACCATCCCCAGCTAATTTTGTATATTTATTAGAGACAGGGTTTCACCATGTTAGCCAGGCTGGTCTCAAACTCCCGACCACTGGTGATCCACCTGCCTTGGCCTCCCAAAGTACTGGAGATTATAGGCGATAGGTGTGAGCCACCGCGCCCAGCCTATTTTCTGTTGTTCTAATTTGTGAAAGCCATTTGTATTAGCCATAGGTCAAAAATTTGGTTTGCACTACTTTTGCATAGGTTAAATTAGTTTTGGTTATAAACTCTTACACCTTATATATCAGCAAATCAAGAAAGTTAGACACTGGCTATTCTAATTATAAATTTTTTCACTTTACACATACCTGAGGACTGTCTTCTGCTTTCATCTCCCCTCATCTCTGTATTTCCCATGTCCTCTAGTATGATGTTTATACCTCTCTCAAAAGTCAGCTAAAGCTTTTATTTTGAATGCTTTCAAACTTTTCTTGAATGGTAAGAAAAAAAAGCCTTGATGGCCCACCTTGATTTGGCCATTTTTTGCCTCCTGTGTCATTCGGCTCAACCTTCTGCATGCATCTTCTCATCTCCAGTCTCTACTAATAATTTCCCCAAAATTATAATTCATCCCATAGTTACTCTAAGTTTTATTTTACTGAATCTTACCATCCATGTCTCCTTAGCTTCCTTTTCTTGTACTGTATAACAACTTTTTCTTCTTTTCCTCCTGTCATCTCCCTTATAAATAACCGACGTTCCCAAGGAATGACAATGACAGCAAAGAACCCATGATAATTGGAGAGCAATTCTGAATCTTTGATCCTTTATTTGAACATCATATTCTGCCTTATACCTTAGGCTCAAGGACTTTTACTGATATGACTCAGACTATCCCAGAAAGATATGCGCCATTAGTAGGGTGTGTTTCTTAATGGAGGCCTTTGGAACAACCTAAAAGCTTATATTCTTTTTACCATTTGGCCATTGGAACTTAATTGATAACGTAACTTTTGAGTAGGCACCATGCATCTAGAATTATGGAAGTACAGAAAACATATACCATGGTTCTTCCTCTCATAAAACATAATGTCTAGTTATATGAATATACATTTCATAAATATATATTTAATGATGTTACACAACTATAGGGGAGATTTTTAAATTAACTCTTATAAACCAAAATAATAAACATTTATAAAAATTGTATCTGATCCACATACATTTTTCAGTAGGCTTAATTCATGTATAACTAACACTTATCAAGTTATTAATTGACACTTGATTATTTGATTAGACTTTTTAACCTTTAGAAAAATATATGTTTGGAAGAAAATGAAAAACAACTCAGACTTTAAAATCAGAGGTGTCAAACTTGGAGAGACAATTTATCATAAATGTACATTCTCAATGTGATACTTTTTTTCTTTCTTTAAGCAACCTGTCACATAATAGGCGTGTGCCAAAAATTGGTCCTTATCCAGATTATTCTTCCTCCTCATACATTGAAGACTCTATCCATCATACCGACAGCATCGTGAAGAATATTTCCTCTGAGCATTCTATGTCCAGCACACCTTTGACTATAGGGGAAAAAAACCGAAATTCGATTAACTATGAACGACAGCAAGCACAAGCTCGAATACCCAGCCCTGAAACAAGTGTCACCAGCCTCTCCACCAACACAACAACCACAAACACCACAGGCCTCACACCAAGTACTGGCATGACTACTATATCTGAGATGCCATACCCAGATGAAACAAATCTGCATGCCACAAATGTTGCACAGTCAATTGGGCCAACCCCTGTCTGCCTACAGCTGACAGAAGAAGACTTGGAGACCAACAAGCTAGACCCAAAAGAAGTTGATAAGAACCTCAAGGAAAGCTCTGATGAGAATCTCATGGAGCACTCTCTTAAACAGTTCAGTGGGCCAGACCCACTGAGCAGTACTAGTTCTAGCTTGCTTTACCCACTCATAAAACTTGCAGTAGAAGCAACTGGACAGCAGGACTTCACACAGGCTGCAAATGGCCAAGCATGTTTAATTCCTGATGTTCTGCCTACTCAGATCTATCCTCTCCCCAAGCAACAGAACCTTCCCAAGAGACCTACTAGTTTGCCTTTGAACACCAAAAATTCAACAAAGGAGCCCCGGCTAAAATTTGGCAGCAAGCACAAATCAAACTTGAAACAAGTCGAAACTGGAGTTGCCAAGATGAATACAATCAATGCAGCAGAACCTCATGTGGTGACAGTCACCATGAATGGTGTGGCAGGTAGAAACCACAGTGTTAACTCCCATGCTGCCACAACCCAATATGCCAATGGGACAGTACCATCTGGCCAAACAACCAACATAGTGACACATAGGGCCCAAGAAATGTTGCAGAATCAGTTTATCGGTGAGGATACCCGGCTGAATATTAATTCCAGTCCTGATGAGCATGAGCCTTTACTGAGACGAGAACAACAAGTTGGCCATGATGAAGGTGTTCTGGATCGTCTTGTGGACAGGAGGGAACGACCACTAGAAGGTGGCCGAACTAATTCCAATAACAACAACAGCAATCCATGTTCAGAACAAGATGTTCTTACACAGGTTGTTCCAAGCACAGTAGCAGATCCTGGGCCATCAAAGCCCAGAAGAGCACAGAGGCCTAATTCTCTGGATCTTTCAGCCACAAATGTCCTGGATGGCAGCAGTATACAGAGTAAGTGGAGGGATCATATAATCTCTCCTGTGTGTCTTTTGGGGCCATTTAAATAACTATTTAGATCAACTAATAGATATATTTCAACCAGTGATTATTTACCTTTGCCACTTTGTAAATGATCCATTTGAGACCTGGAGCAGTGGCTCACACCTGTAATCCTAGCACTTTGGGAGGCTAAGGGAGGTGGATCACCTGAGGTCAGGAGTTCAAGACCAACCTGGCCAACATGGCAAAACCCCATCTCTACAAAAATACAAAAATTAGCCAGGCTTGGTGGTGTGCACCTGTAATCCCAGCCAAGATCACGACACTTCACTCTAACCTGGGCAAAAAAGTGAAACTCCATCTCAATAATGAAATAAAATAAAATAAGCCATTTGGGCCAGGCGTGGTGGCTCATGCCTATAATCCTAACACTTTGTGAGGCTGGGGCAGGTGGATCACCTGAGGTCAGGAGTTCGAGACCAGCATGGTGAAACCCCGTATCTCCTAAAAAATGCAAAAATGGCCAGGCACAGTGGCTCACACCTGTAACCCAGCACTTTGGGAGGCTGAGGCAGGTGGATCACGAGGTCAGGAGTTCAAGATCAGCCAGGCCAAGATGGTGAAACCCCCGTCTCTACTAAAAATACAAAAAATTAGCCAGGTGTGGTAGTAGACACCTGTAATCCCAGCTACTCAGGAGGCTGAGGCAGAGAATTGCTTGAACCCAGGAGGTGGAGGTTGCAGTGAGCCAAGATTGCACCACTGCACTCCAGCCTGGGTGACAGAGCAAAACTTTGTCTCAAAAAAAAAAAGAAAGCAAAAATTAGCTGGGTGTGGTGGTGCACACCTGTAATCCCAGCTACTTGGGAGGCTGAGGCAGGAGAATTGCCTGAACCCAGGAGGCGGAGGTTGCAGTGAGCTGAGATCGCGCCATTGTACTCCAGCCTGGCGGCAAGAGCGAAACTCCATCTCAGGAAAAAAAAAAATAAGCCATTTTGTTGGACCTCAAAGGTAATTAGACTATTGTAAAGAAAAAAGTAATATTTTTGTCATTGATAATTAAAAAGTCAGTGTCACAATAGTCAGAATAATTGCCCAATTTAATATGTGCTTTATGTGGCTGTTGCTTTATAATGCAACTCACATACTTGCTATGAAAAGTTGAAGTAAATACCAGTTCAAGAGCTCCAAGTAATGTTATACCAGTATAACCTTTGAAACATTTTATTGCACATATTAATATTGATTATGTCTGCATTTAGGTTTTATCAAACTAACCTTAATAAATCTTTTTTTTTTTTTGAGACGAAGTCTCGCTCTGTCGCCCAGGCTGGAGTACAGTGGCCGGATCTCAGCTCACTGCAAGCTCCACCTCCCGGGTTTACGCCATTCTCCTGCCTCAGCCTCCCGAGTAACTGGGACTACAGGTGCCTGCCACCACACCCGCCTAATTTTTTATGTTTTTAGTAGAGACGGCGTTTCACCATGTCAGCCAGGGTGGTCTCGATCTCCTGACCTCGTGATCCACCTACCTCGGCCTCCCAAAGTGCTGGTGTTACAGGCGTGAGCCACTGCGCCTGGCTATACCTTAATGAATCTTAAAGATCCAGAGAAATTTCAGAAAAATTACTATAAAGAAACTGTAGGCTGGGCACTGTGGCTCACGCCTGTAATCCTAGTGCTGTGGAAGACTGAGGTGGGTGGATCACTTGAGGCCAGGAGTTCAAGACTAGCCTGGGCAACATAGCAAAACATTTACAACTTAGTTTCTACAAAAAATTTAAAACTTAGTTTGGTGTGGTGGTGAGCGCCTGTAGTTCTAGCTACTTGGGAGGCTGAGGCAGGAGGATCACTTGAGCCCAGGTGTTCAAGGCTGTAGTGAGCCATAATCACACCACTGTACTTCAGCCTGTACAAGAGACAGAGACTCTGAAAAACAAAACAAACAAAAAAAAACTGTAAGATTCTTCTTAGTTTCTTAGTATCATCTTTTTCAAGAGTTATATATTGAGTCTCTCACATACCTATACTTTTTTTTTTTTTTTTTGAGACAAGGTCTTACTGTTGCCTAGGCTGGAGTGCAGTGGCAAGATCATGGCTCACTGCAGCCTCAACCACCCGGGCTCAGGTCATCCTCCCGCCTCAGCCTCCCAAGTAGCTGGGACTCCATACCTATACTATGGTACTATGAGCCCTGTAGCATCTTAAATAACTTAAACTGATGTTTGATTTCTTGCCCTAAAGGGATTGCAACACAAAACAAGGGAGCTCACCAAAATCTGTAAGTTATTGTTATACAAAATGATTTATTTTAATTAATTAATTAATTTTTTTTGAGACAATCTTACTCTGTCATCCAGGCTGGATCATGCAGTGGCATAATCTCGGCTCACTGCAACCTCTGTCTCCCAGGTTCAAGCGATTCTCTTGCCTCAGCCTCCCGAGTAGCTGGGATTACAGACACGCGCCACCATGCCCTGCTAATTTTTGTGTTTTAGTAAAGGAAGGGTTTCGCCATGTTGGCCAGGCTGGTCTCGAACGCCTGACCTGAGGTGATCCACCCACCTCAGTCTCCCACAGTGCTGGGATTACAGGCATGAGCCACTGCACTCAGCCGATTTCTTTTTTAGACTAAGGCATTTATGAAAAAAAGTTATGTTTTATTTTTCTCTAGGGCTACAAAATGGGTTTGAAAGAAGGATACAGGTTTCAAAAAACAATCAGTAAAATATAGCCCCTTGCTTGAGCGGCTTATATTATAGACCAGTTGACGGACCCTTATTGCAGGACTCTGAGTCAGTAAGACATCTTGTCAGATAGGCCAGGCGTGGTGGCTCATGCCTGTAATCCCAGCACTTTGGGAGGCTGAGGCGGGCGGATCACCTGAGGTCAGGAGTTCGAGACCAACCTGACCAACATGGAGAAACCCCATCTCTACTAAAAATACAAAATTAGCCAGGCATGATGGTGCATGTCTGTAATCCCAGCTATTTGGGAGGCTGAGGTAGGAGACTCACTTGAACCCGGGAGGCGGAGGTTGCGGTGATCTGAGATTGTGCCATTGCACTCCAGCCTGGCTACAAGAGTGAAACTCTGTCTCAAAAAAAAAAAAAAGAAATCTTGTCAGATATAGGAAGAGGAAATTACTAAAATATTTGTACTCTAATATTTCTGTCATTCTTCCGAAAAATATTGTACGCCAGGTGCCTTTAAAGTTTGATCCAGGCCGAGCATGGTGGCTCACACCTATAACCCGAGCACTTAGGGAGGCTGAGTCGGGCACATTGCCTGAGCTCAGGAGTTCAAGACCACCCTCGACAAGATGGTGAAACCCCCCGTCTCTACTAAAATACAAAAAATTAGCTGGGCATGGTGGCATGCGCCTGTAGTCCCAGTTACTCAAGAGGCTGAGGCATGAGAATCGCTTGAGCCTGGGAGACAGAGGTTGCAGTGAGTCAAGATCATGCCACTGCACTCCAACTTGGGCTACAGAGTGAGACTCAGTCCCAAAAAAAAAAAATTTTTTTTGGATCCACCTTGAGCATTAAATACAATGATTAAATACATTTTACCAAGTTAAGATCTCTACCAAAACCAGAAGATTTGAGAATACAGCTGAGAACTTTAAGTGTTCTCCTCTGATTGTGTGTGTGTGTGTGTGTGTTTATCCTTGACTTATAGAATAAGTCAATCAGTTATTAAAACATTTGGGTTAAAGAGTCTCAAAAATAAGTTGGTTAAGCTTTGCCTAGAAAAACATTGCCTGGCATTATGAATTTCAAGAAATGTTCATTAGCACCCTCCTGAGACATTGGTTTGACCTTTTCTTGAGTTACATCCCTCACCCTTTATTTCTTAAGTCTGTTAAATAGTTCATTTTTCTGCCCTTTTATTTTCAGTAGGTGAGTCAACACAAGATGGCAAATCAGGATCAGGTGAAAAGATCAAGAAACGTGTGAAAACTCCCTATTCTCTTAAGCGGTGGCGCCCCTCCACCTGGGTCATCTCCACTGAATCACTGGACTGTGAAGTCAACAACAATGGCAGTAACAGGGCAGTTCATTCCAAATCCAGCACTGCTGTTTACCTTGCAGAAGGAGGCACTGCCACAACCATGGTGTCTAAAGATATAGGAATGAACTGTCTGTGAAATGTTTTCAAGCCTATGGAGTGAAATTATTTTTTGCATCATTTAAACATGCAGAAGATGTTTAAAAAAAAAAAACTGCTTTATCCTCCTGTCAGCACCCCCTCCCACCCCTGCAACAAGGACTTGCTTTAAATAGATTTCAGCTATGCAGAAAAATTTAGCTTATGCTTCCATATTTTTAAATTTTGTTTTTTAAGTTTTGCACTTTTGTTTAGTCTCGCTAAAGTTATATTTGTCTGTTATGACCACAGAGTTATATGTGTGTGTATCAAAAGTGGTCTCAAAATATTTTTTTAAGAAAAAAAGCAAAAACAATGTATTGCTGATAATCAGTTTGGACCAGTTTCTTAAGGTCATTAAAACAGAAGCAAATTAAGACAGGTTTGACTGCAGTGGTATCTGGTATCCATGTTTTATTTCTGGGCACAAGCTAGTTTTTATGTTGATACGTTCCTGAACATATTATCTTGTTGGACATCTTTTCTCTTGTGTTTTGTTTGAATGTGCAATAGTTTATAGGCCACAAATAAGCTTTCTTGTAAGCTCTCTTCCTAACAGGGCACATATTCTTCCATAATATAAACACTTTTCTGCCCCATCTCCCATACTTTTGAAGGTCAGTTCTATGACAGTGAATTTTGCACAGGAGAAGCAGCTACCTGATTTCTTACTTTCTCTCTCCTTATCATGGAGAATACAGAAACATTGTCTGAAAGGGCTCTAAAGAAGGAACTACCAAAACCTGATTTGAAATGCCATTTCTTTTAACCTTCCAAATCCTGAATGTTTCCTTCCAGGCATTTTAATAAACTTATTTGCTTCTGGTTTTGGGAGTTCATAAGAGAGACTAGAACAAAGTACAGGACATCAAATATTAGCCATTTCCCATTTTATTTTATTTTTCTATGTATGTTCATGATCCATGTTCATTTATTTAAGAATACATTTTTATTGGTAAGCTTATAGAGCTATACTTATGGAATTTTTAAGTAGGAAAATAAATGGTTAAGACAAAATAGTGTTATAGCTTTCATTCTCTGAATAGGCCATCTTTGACTCATAAAATTATACTTACTGTTTATTATAACTTCAGAAGTAATTTATAGTTCTGAACCTCTAGTATCTTTTACCCTGTTCCCAAGCGAAGACTGGTGACTTTATCTGAAAATGATTCCTCTTCCCATGACCTAAAACACTGTGAGGAAAAATCATTCAAGTGGCATGGCAGGTCCCCATGAAGGAAGGGCTGCTGTCAAACCTAACTTTTTTGAGCAGACTGAGACTAAACTTCTGTCTTTTCAAAATTGTGTTATCTTCCTTAATCCTATTTTCATAATTTTTCCTTTTGCCAGTTTTTCACATTATCTTTGATATGTGAGCAACATTTATTATTTACATTAGAGTATACCTTTTAGTAATAACATGACTTGAAATCACGTTATTTTTAAAAGCCTCCTTTGCTTCTTTCATTACTTATAATCTTCTCTAAAACAAACTGCATTTTTTTTAATAAAGCACTTTCTGTCAAATAATGGACTTTTTTCTAAACAGAAATTATTTTCTATTTACAAACTGATGATTTCACTGTAAAAAAATTTTTTTTTTTTTTATTATCAGAGTACTTAGTAAATGTTATATAGTTAAGTTCTAAGATAGTTCCAGGGATTAAAAGGTTAAGAGGAAAACACAAATCACCAAATTTCTGATTTATGTTTTTATCTCCTGAACAGTATTTTTTCACTCATATTCCTCTATCTCATCACTTAGCTAAAGACAGCCTAAATTTCCCAATTTTCTGTCATTTGTGATTTACTTGTCTATAAGCCTTCTCATTTGCCATGTGCTGTGATCTTACAAGTTAGATGTTACTGTACCTACCATTTATTCAGCTGGATTGCTGAACACTGTTCTGGATTCTTAGAATTAAGATTATCTTGTTAGTGCCCAAGATTTCCACGCTTTGTGTTTTATTGGCCCTTCTCTTGATTCAGCACCTTAACCGATTTTCAGTCTTCTGGCACATAATTTTTTTCACAGTTATTATTCTATTAACAAATTATTTGTATCTTTCCTAGTACATTTTCACTTAGTTCTCTTGCCTTTAAATATCTTTCACATGCATTTTAGGATATTCTTTTCAAATATTTGTAGGACAACTTTGAATCAAAATAAATTATATTCCTTCTCCAGTTTGAAGCATTGAGGGTAAATAACCATTTGAGGTCTAACTGATCTTTTCCTGCCAGAAGAGTGATCTTACGTTCTGCTATATTTGTATTTGGGCCAGTTGATTGTAGGTTTTCCAACATTTTTTAATATTGGGAAAATTATAATAAAATGCTTTAAAAATTAATATGCCAGATTAAAATAACTGAATAGTTTATTTCATTCAAGCATGTTTAAAACAAATAATTTCCTTTCACCAGTTTTTCTTAGTAAACTCCTGAAAAAGTAGGAAAGGTGGAGAGTATATATCATTTTAATAAATTTTAAATTAAATTGTACATCAGACTGTTAAAATCTGTAATATACAAGCAAGCAAAATTAATTACTTATATGCTGATACTCATCTGATAATAAATGTTTCTTAAAGTTGACATTTAACTGCTATCACAAAATTTTACATGTAGAAAAGCAGGTCTTTTGAATAAAAGATCATTCAACTAAAATATTAAAATTTATTTCACTGGATGGTAATGTAACCTTAAAAGCATCATAATAGGTAAAGTCTAATATTAGTTCCCTTAACAAAATCTTAACTGTATACCAGAATTACGTCACTGAAAGAACTTGATTTGAATTACGTTTAGACAAAAATTACTTAATTGTAAATTCTTAAAACTTTCCAAATGCATAATTGGCAAATAAATAAATAAATAAATAAAAAACACTGTTACCCGTGTAGGAAGTTACGAGAAGGCACATACTGAATGCCGAAATATACATATGCCATTTCTTTTAAACCTCAGAGCAACCATATGAGCATTGTAATTAATATTCCCATTTTACAGATGAGGAAATTGAAGCTAAGAGAAACTAAGTAATATGCCCAAGGTCCATATCTAGTAATAGACAAAGCTGGGATTTCAGTCGATGTCTACCTCTCTCCACATCTCTTTCGTCCATCCCACACTGCCTATATGCCATATGACAGGATGTGTTACGGGCTAACATTTATTTTAAAAATTCAGGCCAGGCACAGTGGCTTACGCCTATAATCCCAGCACTTTGGGAGCCCGAGCCGGGTGGATCACAAGGTCAGGAGTTCAAGACCAGCCTGGCCAAGATGGTGAAACTCCATCTCTACTAAAAATATTTTTAAAAAATTAGCCAAGCGTGGTGGTGGGCACTTGTGGTCCCAGCTACTCAGGAGAGTGAGGCAGGAGAATTGCTTGAACCCAAGAGGCAGCAGTTGCAGTGAGCTGAGATCACGCCACTGCACTCCAGCCTGGGCAACAAAGTGAGACTCCATCTCAAAAAAATAAAAATAAAAATTCAGTCACTATACTCGCACAATTGTCATTTGTATATACACAATTGTATATACAAATATTGTATTTGTATATATAAGGTAAGCCAAACCACATACCTTAATGATTTGGGAAGTTAGGCAAATATAAGATATGTAGACATATCTATGCTGATTGTTGCTTGAGAAATAATTACTAATTCAAGACAAAACTCAATCCTGTATCTCCCATCATGAATCTTAAAATCATTTCACTTGACTCCTAACATTCTTAAATTGCAGAACTAATGGTAAGGTAAATTTTAAGGAAAAAGTTAAGATAGCTTTTGGGAACAGAGACCTTTCCCTAAACTGATTCCATAATAGATTTGGGGGAATTAATTTAACAGAGAATTTCAGTTTCATCAGTCCTTTGAATCCATCTTCAGGACTTCTGCTTTTAATAACTTTAGAAAATTTACTAATCCATAGAACTAATTGAGTAGGCTATAGGAAGGATACAAGGATAATGTCTTTTTTATAAAACAGTTTAGTATAGCTTCTTTACATGTATCCACTTGTTCCAGAAAATATGCATTTGTTCTGAATGTGAAAATATTTAAAGAGAGAAAGGAACACTTAAGTGTGGGCTTCAGTGGGAATTTTCACAAAGAAATTGGCAAGTTTTTTTTTTTTTTTTGAGACGGAGTCTCGCTCTGTTGCTCAGGCTGGAGTGCAGTGGCGCGATCTCGGCTCACTGCAAGCTCCGCCTCCCAGGTTCACGCCATTCTCCTGCCTCCGCCTCCTGAGTAGCTGGGACTACAGGCGCCCGCCACCGCGCCCGGCTAATTTTTTGTATTTTTAGTAGAGACGGGGTTTCACCGTGGTCTCGATCTCCTGACCTTGTGATCCGCCCGCCTCGGCCTCCCAAAGTGCTGGGATTACAGGCGTGAGCCACCGCGCCCGGCCGGCAAGTTTTTTTTAAAATTATTTTCAAATTTGACTTCTACAGCCAAATGGAATTGGTAGGCTGTAGCTGTTACACTGAAATTTCCAGTCTTTTTAAGTGCCTCCTGAAAGCCATTTAAAATGGAAAAATATTTCAATGAACTTTTCTTTTCCTTTTTTCATATTTATGGACATGAATATTTTATTGGAGATCATTAACTACTAGAATTTGAGATTATATTTCTATACAATATTTTTTAAAGTTATGTTGAATTTACTACCTGTTATGTGCAGGTTATTATGTAACTATTCACAGATTGCTTCATACATTGCTTTATCTTCCCAGCTAACTTATTAAAGTTAGAATCTGTACACACATATTGATTATCTAGACCAGTCATTCTAGAAATTGTAACACTCCCACATAAACCCCAGAAGACTTTTTCAGAATGCAATGTTTTCTAAATATACTGTTTACTGGCAGTTTACTCTTCAGCATATAAGGTTGCATTTTAACTTTTAGATTATGAACTGTGCAAACTTTACCCAAAACTACCTTGCATGATTCCCTCCTAAATATATTCCTTGATTAAGTAAATCTGGCAAATCACTGTTTGAGCTAGTTACATAAAATTTGTTATCAAGAGAAGGCCTTTCTACAAGTTTCCAGATTAACAAAGAAAAGAGGAAATCACAGGGCATTTAAGTGCACCTTCCCATTACTTTCCTTAAATCACCTCATAGGCCGGGCGCAGTGGCTGACGCCTGTAATCCCAGCACTTTGGGAGGCCGAGGCAGGTGGATCACGCGGTCAGCAGACTGAGACCATCCTGGCTAACACGAACCCCATCTCTACTAAAAATACAAATAATTAGCCAGGCATGGTGGCACGCGCCTGTAGTCCCAGCTACTTGGGAGGCAGAGATAGGAGAATCGCTTGCACCGGGGAGGCGGAGGTTGCAGTGAGCCGAGATGGCGCCAATGCACTCCAACCTGGGCAACAGAGCAGGACTCCATCGGAAAAAAAAAAAAAAATCACCTCATAGTTTATGTCTGACTTACTCCAAACCTCAGTTATCTGATTTGTAGTCTGTGTCAGGAAAGTTTTCTTTATATCCTGTCTCCCTCCTCTTTGATTTTAAATTTTTTTTTTTACCCAGTAGGACAAAAAAGAGAGCAGCTGGTCATCATCCCCAATATTCTTAGTCTTCAGTATACTTCAGGCCTCTCAATGAACACTTCAGTCTCGGTTCTTCAGACAAAATTGCTTAAGCTCTTTCTCCTCAGTCCTATTTTAATGACTTTATATTTAAGAACATAAAATTATATCTTCTTTTATATTCAAATTCATTACTCCAGTTAAGTAATAGTTTGATAGTTTGATAGAATCGAGAGTTAAGATGTTTCTATTTGAAAGTGGATTCAACCATCAGACTACCAGCAAATCAGCACTTAATTTTTGTATTATCTAACATTTTCTATTGTGGAATTTTATGACTTTATATTCTCATTAGTTATAGCTAAAAAGCCATGCATACAGAATTGTATATCATTTTGCCATTAAAATTGTTTAACTTATATTGCAGCAAGCTTAGTTTTATGATTGAGCCACAACCTTCTACTTATTTTTTGTGTCAAATATTAAACATTAAATGCAAGATTAACTTTCAAAAGCAAACCCTACATTAATCAGGTATTATCTATGGACATTTTTGTAGACCACTTTTGAAATACTTATTATTTTGCAACATAGACTGGACTATACAACTTTCATTTAACTTTTAGGTGACTGATTTAAGTTGAGTGTGCATATAGAGAAAAACTTAGAAATTTATCTCATGGCAGATACATTTGAAAGTACTTCAGAAGACTTTATGCTGTATATTAAAACCAGGCTCAAAATAAATCTATCATATCTTTAAAATTCCAATTCTGTTATTACTGTGATGTTTGTAGTGTTACTATTCAACATTGTAAACATACACATTCATTTTTAAAACAACTTGAAACCCATTTTAAAATCTGGGTAAGAGAGAAGGAATCTTCAGAACCAAATTACATCATTAGGGTGTCCAGTTTATGACTGAATTTTTAAGCAAATTACTGTATTTGAAACTACAACTTGATTTGTTTTTCAGTTTTAAAAGGCAACATGTGGGTTTTTTCCATTTTATTTGTACCTTTAGATTTCAGAAACATCTTCGTGTTTTAGATTCATTCTACAGACATATTACTTAAAAACTCAGGGCCCCTTTCTTCCCTTTGTACACTGAAAAAGTTCAATTGGTAGCAAGTAAGCAATTAGATCCAGTTGAATATTTAAAGTGTTTGTTGCACAGTTCATTTAATGTTTCATCTTATTTGACTTTTTCACATAGATATATTATCAGATTTCATTAATCATAAAAAGTTGCCCAGTTCTGTAATTACTGAACAGAGGGAATGACTCAACTAATTGGCTACATGTTGCAACAAATTTAGGTCTTTAGAGTTGAAGCACTGACTTAAAACGATTTACATTTCTGTTCTTTGGTCAAATGATCATACATGATATGGGACAAATTGTTTCATTTTGTTTGTTTTTTAATAAGAGAACTTAGTAAAGTAGTTCCTCTCAGATAGGATTTTCTCAAGAGACATTTGAACGTTATAAAGCCTTCTAAAAGTGAACTAAATATTTTATAACTTTAGTAATAGCTTGGATGGTTTTGAGAAAATAACCTCTATTTATCACATTGTCAGAGTCAAACAGAATTTTTCTTTGAATCAGACAAGTTCAAGCTCTAAACTGGTATGCTATATACTTAAAATCCTAGAAAGTTATCTGTAACCAATCTCTTGTCTCAGGCTCTTCACCTTGTTACCAATCCTCTTAAGTATGTAAAGGAAACATATTTTTAAAGAAGCTTAACAGTAAGAAAAATTACTAAAAGATGCAATTCAAAGATAGATAGGTCCCAGTTTAACATTGAATTGCTTGACTTCTGTGGCTTTTCCTTTTCTGGCCACATTTATTTATTTAAGCAATTTTTGTATGCCTTGTTATTTCATTTCCATAGAGATTATATTGTATCAGTGTTTATGTAAGCTGGAATCATCCTCAGTTTTCTGTTGATAATTTTTCAAATAAAGATACATGGATATTGTAAAATACACTAACTCTTAGGGTGTTGTAGTAGCTGAAACATGGAGATGTGTAGCTGCCATGCTTTTTCTGAATGGACAGGAGAAACATAAGCTACAGAGTATTCATTTCTGAGGATGCTTTTCTGG